TGGATAATATAATAATATATATATATAATATATATAAAATATAATATATAATTATTAAAAAAATAATGATTTTATTAAAAAATAATTATTTTATTTAATACTTATTGCATTTTTATTTTATTTTACTTTAGTTTATTATTAATTTTTGATTATTAACTTTTTTTACCATACTTTTGTTTCTTATTTATTATTATTATTATTTATAATTGTTTGTTTTTTTATTATTTCTAATGTATTTATATAAAAATGATAATAATTCTAAATAAAACAATTGTATTAATAATAATACAAATATTGTATATAACTAAATATTGTAGAAACTTAATTTTCTGTAAAGTTGCTTTGCAACGATTTGTATCGTAAAAAGCTCTATACAAATAAACTTGAATTGAATTAATAATAATAAAAGGTTAATACAAATTCTGTAAAAGTTCTGCTCAGGTCTTGGTACAAGTTATTAGTTATTATTAGTTAAAGTCACTATATGCACATCAGGCTTTCTGTTTACAGGGTTAATTTCAGCATGGAAAACCTCATATCAGGTAAACTTACCGCTGTGTTTATATATTAAATCCAGGAACTGCTGACTGCCAGATAAATGGACATCTGCCTCTGCAATATCAGATTTTAAAATGCACAAATAAATCATATATAAGAGTAAAAGCGGTTGATTGGCATGAATGTGTTAATGTGTTTGTGTTTGTGTGCAGCATCTCTGCTGAAAGGCCTGAAACACACCAACATCGTGCTGCTCCACGACATCATTCACACCAAGGAAACCCTGATGCTGGTCTTCGAGTATGTGGTGAGTACCAGGATGGAAATCAGGCCTCGACGTTTCTTCCATAGATAGTGTTTAGTCCACACTCAGAGTATTTTCATATCCTCACAGCCGCTGGATCTCGTGTTTGTGATGCTTTAGTCAGCATTCCTCCAGCCTGAGGTTTATCTTTGAATCTTCAGTCCTGTTTCCCGAACCGATCGGTCTCTAATGCGAGTTCTGTCGTCATTTATTCGCTCTCATGCCGTTCTGGCTCTGGGTGACTTTCTATACTGCTTACTTCTGTGAAAGACATATACACCTCTTTTACTTTGAGTTTCTTATTTATTGTTAGTTATACACTCTAAAAAATGCTGGTTTGTTTCAACCCAACTTTGGGTCAAATTTTGGACTAACACAACTTTTGGGTAAAAAATGTAATTTAAATATTTAACCCAACAGGTGGGTTAGTCCATATTTGACCCAAAGTTGAGTTGAAACAACCCAGC